TCGAAAACACTTACACATACCGGATCACGACCTTGTACAGCCGAGTCAGGCAGAGGTCGCCACTTGATTAATATTCTCGTTCTGGCGTCACTTTGTTGGTGTAACTTTTAATTTTTTTTTAAATACATTGTAGCAGATATTCACTATTTCTGATATCTTGGCATTAATAACTGATTTTAAATCAGTCGGGTAGTACGATTATTGTGTAGCAGGACGGTAAACAGCGTGTAGACGTGTTCTGCACATAAAATGATCAACTTTGGAATTACGTTGATAATGTTATTAGTTTCGTTATATTATCTTAAATCGTGTGGCTTTTACATTTGTTTATCTTCAACTTGTACTAAAGTTTACTCCCAACAGAACTTATATTTAGATAAACTGTACAAAACATAACCAAATATATATAAAATAAACGTTAGTTTTTCAACGATATTGAAGTACGAAAACCGTCTGTACGAAAGGGGGGGGGGGAAATCTTAATAAGTTTTTTTCCGATTACAAATTTATACGTATATTTATATTTAACTAATGCTTACGGAAAAAAAACATGCAGTGGTATGTAATATTTTTTCTTACCACCAGATGGCGCTAAAATAACTTAAAATGTATTTAAATAATTATATATCACTTAAACAACTACAAAATCATCTTAGATATACAATAATAATATTGGGAAAAACGGATGTCTTTGTCTGTCGGGGTCACGGGGTACGGTCATTCGAACAAATGTCTCTCAAATATTGAAAATGTTGTTTACGAGGGAGTTTTGTAATCAGCTTTTCCGGTATGAATTCGACAGTTCTTAGTTTTAGACCGTGAACTGAAATACCACAGTTCAATAACGACATGTTCTATTGGCCCCAAAATCTAATTTGGGAAAAAGAATGTCTGTCCGTTAACTGCGTATGAATATAAAAAAATAAGAGAAAAAAGAAATATCTGGTATGAAAATACAATTACATTCAGGTGTTAAGAGTGATTATTATGGATGTACGTTAATGTCCTTGTGTGGTGTTGTTAAAATTTGTTTGTTATGGATTTCGCGCAAAGCTACACGAGGGCTATCTGCTAATTTAGTAGTGTAAGGCTAGAGGGAAAACATCACAACTCGCCGCCAACGAATAGTGGAATTGACCGTCACTTTATAACGCCCCCACGGCTGAAAGGGCGAGTATATTTGGTGTGACGGGGATTCGAACCCGCGACTCACACATTGCGAGTCGAGCGCCGTAACCACCTGATTTGTAGATTATTGTTTATGTCGTTTTATGCTAATAAAAATATGTTACATTTTGATATTTCAAAAAAAAAATGAATATGTTATAAGTAGTTTTCAACATTTTTTTTTTTTGTTTCGAATCCGTTTGGTGTGTAATTTTCTAAGATAAATTTTCATAAACAGAGCCGATTAATAAAAACCTCTGAAGCATGGTGTTATAAAATCGTCCAACAGTTAACAAGAAGGTAAACAGGGTCGATTAATAAAAACCTCTGAAGCATGGTATTATAAAATCGTCCCACTGTTAACAGGTACATAAACAGGGCTGATTAACAAGTACATAAACAGGGATAACTAATTCAAACCCCTGAAGGTGGAGTGAGTACTTGTATTGTTGGAGATGGTCTTAATAACTATGTATTTTATTGAATTTCGACACCCTGTACTAATATTATTATATTTCTCTTCCAATTAATCTGAAAAAGAAATGTTAAATATAGCTAAAATTCAGAAGGTTTCTTTGACTATTTAGAATTTTTGCGCAAAGCCGTCCCTCATTTTGAAATGATAGACCAAAGGGAAGGCAGCTCGTCAAGAGCACCGACTACCAACTTTTGAGGTATTCTAAAGCGAATGAATAGTGCCCCAAAGTGCGGAACGCGTTTTATGACAATGTGAAGCGAACAATGAGGTCTTGGATTCACAATCCAAACACACTAACCCTAGGCCACACCCATTCCAAAATTTAGGAAGGAACCGAGCTGCAGTCAAGGTTTTCAAAGGGATGGGGGCTTCGTTTATAATGACCCAAACCAAAAACGAAGGATTGGGGTGCACCATAGATAATGTTTTGAAGAAGGGGGGGATAAATATTTTCACATAGAAGAAAAGAGAGATTTAGTAACAAATCAGCTGAAGCTACTCTGACCTCTCTCCGGACGTGAAGATAAGGTCAAGGCAAGGGTTTGGTTAATACAACAACTATTGCACAAGTATGGATATAGGTCATGTGATTATTAGGTTTTTTAAAACTTCTAACGTTAAAGCTCACTTGTAGTTTTCTTTTTAATAAATTGCGGAGTATTTTTGTTTTATTATTTCCCCATGGTGGAAGAATTAATCAACTATAATGATGGCTATCAATACGCCCTTGACTTATTGCACGAAAGGAGTCAATCAATAACCTTAATTTTCATGTTTTATGACAGGAGTTGGTTACTTGACTCTCATCTGATAAAATGAAATTGTAAACAATTTCCATTGCGATTAAACAACTGAAAGAATTCGAAATTACACACATAAGTTATTTTGAAAAACATTATCGTTAAATCAATAATTTTCCTTTTAGGCCCAAGATGGCGCCACGTAATATATAAAAAGTGCCATATTGTACCCCTCACATGAAGTTACTATAGCAACGAAATGCACAAGGTGTTGTAATACAAATACGACAGTTGACTATTGTTGGCGCCGTAGAATTTCTAGTTTCATTTGCCTCTACCATATTATTTTCATGATTTAGATGTGCAATAATAAAAGACTGAACCGAGTGCTCAGATGCAACATCTCCAGTATCCGGTCTGCTTAATATCTTTACATTCAATATCTTATCATTTATCGGCTGTGAAATTAGAGCATTTTGATAACATTAATTATTTAATAATTTTGAGAACACCTTGTGTCTCGCATGCCATTATTTCTAACAGAAATAATTTCATAATGTTCTAATTTAAGCAGTAAATTATTTACTAAGTTGTCTTTTTTTATTATTACTAATCTGTGAAATAAGAGCAATTTTATTTTGTTTGACAGTTCATTTTACAAGGGGGGGGGACAGGTCCACATGTCTAGATATTCTTTTACAGATATACACCATTAGATTACAGTTCCATAACACTGTGGGTCTTAAACAACTTTCATATCACTAAACCTTTTACAGACCCACATCTCAACATCACTTTTACAGATTTATACAAAATGTATTATTTTACGGCTGTATACAGTTTATACACATGGACAGCTATACACCACAATGTATTATTTTACGGCTGTATACAGTTTATACACAT